CGAAAATCAGCGGTCATTCGTTTGAAATTGAAGAAATTCAAATGATATACACAAAACAATGTTAAAAATAAATAGCCTATGTTCTTTAGTTGCTGGCATGCAGGCCAATTCAGAGGCAAATCCAGAGATGTCCCAAAGGGGGAGGCCGGGGCCGAAAAAAGAGGAGGTGGTAGGGCGAAAGTGGGTCCGATCGAGATAACACCACCTTAAAGGAAATTTGTCTTCTCTAGACGCCTGAAAATAACCTGATGCGTTTGGCTGATTAATTTTTTTTTACCACCCCTCTCCCTTAAATCCACCTCTGCTATTTAAAATCACAATATTAAGATTCATCTAAATTTGATTTAAATGTATTAAATATTAATGTACATTTTAGTCGATCTATAGCAAAAAATTTAAGGGCCTGTTATTGGCAATTAATTAGAATGAATTAAGTTACATAGTTAGGTAACACAAACTGGCGTTAAAACAAACCTATGAAAACGTTAATAAATACTTTTTATCTAAACTTCTAAATTCGTCTCTGAATGTTATTATTGCAGTACTTAAAGCAATAAATCAATGTTGCTATCAGAATTATCTTTTCCGCCTCTGTTATTTAAAATCACAATATTAAGATTCATCTAAATTTGATTTAAATGTATTAAATATTAATGTACATTGTAGTCGATCTATAGCAAAAATTTTAAGGGCCTGTTACTGGCAATTAATTAGAATGAATTAAGTTACATAGTTAGGTAACACAAACTGGCGTTAAAACAAACCTATGAAAACTTTAATAAATACTTTTTATCTAAAATTCTAAATTCGCCTCTGAATGTTATTGTCGCAGTACTTAAAGCAATAAATCAATGTTGCTATCAGAATTATCTTCTTCATTCTCATATGCAACCTAACTTCAGAGTAACTTCGAAGAAGTCTCTTCAAAACTTGCTTGAAATTGGAGGTGCCATCGGACCCGAATGATCACATCGAGCATTTATATATGGCGCTCTACATAAAGAACACTGCGGGCACCTAGGGCTACACAATTCAATTGGGCATAATAAATTAATTAAAGTACAGTATTTAATTTATAGGCCTATTCAAAAGAAATTCAAAAGGGATAGAACCTCCAACTAGTAAGATGGAACATATACAAAGACACGCAATATATGGTACAAACTTGCAATGAACTGTCTTCATAAAGCTTAAACGAGGATAAACTTCATAAACAATATATTTCATCCGAACAATTTAAATTATTAAATGTAACTGTTATCTTTTAAATAAACTCTCTTACGTCAAATCCGGCTGAATCGGGGAACCTAGATTAAGTGTTTAGTGCAAGTACAAACAAAGGTGCAAGACAATAATCAAATATAGAATTTAAGCTAACAAAAACAAAATATCCAAAACAAGTCTACATTATATTAGGCCTATATTGAAAAAAATGTAAACTTTTCAAAAATTCGACCAAATTCGGCCAAATATAGTTTGGCCGTGACTTTTCAAATGCTACGGCCAGGCAAATTTGTATACGGCCAGATTTGAGAAATCTGGCCGTCAAAAAGGCCAAATGTCAACCCTGGTCTACCACGCATTAATATTGCTGGTACAAAAAAACGAAGCTAAATGCCAACAGTTTATTGAAGCAATGGAACATTCACTGCTTGCTGAAGGCCTGCAAGGAAATGTAGATGAAGTTTGGAATACTATAAGTTCCACCATCTATAAGACTGCGGAAAAAAACTTTTGGCAAAAACAGAAAAAGCAATAAAGATTGGTTTAGAGCCCACACAGCAGAAATGATACCAGTCATTGAAGCCAAGAATGCAGCATACCTCAACATAATCTAAACCCAACAGTAGGAACATTTAAATAACTAAAACTTGCAAAACATGTAGTTCAGAAGACAGCAAGGTACTGTGCAAACCAATATTGGATCAAACTCTGTTAAGAAATTCAGACGGCATCTGATAAAGGGGACCTTCGCATGATGTATGAAGGTATCAAGAAGGCCATTGGACCCACTATCATAAAAACCGCCCCTTTGAAATCACTGAATGGTGAAGTACTGACCGACAAGAATAAACAGATGTCTCGTTGGGTGGAACACTATCTTGAGTTGTACTCCACTGAAACTGATATCTCACAAGTTGCACTTGATACCCTACCTCAACTACCTGTTATGGGTGAGCTGGATCATGAACCTTCAGTACTTGAGCTGAGTCAAGCTATCGATTCTTTAGCAAATGGAAAGGCACCTGGTAAGGATGGAATTCCAGCTGAAATACTTAAATGTAGAAAAGTAAGAATATTACCCCATCTCTATGATCTCCTCCTCCTTTGTTGGCGGACAGAAACCATCCCACATGATATGCGGGATGCGAACATCATCACTCTGTACAAAAATAAAGGAGACCGCGGGGATTGTAACAACTACCGCGGCATATCCCTCCTCAGTGTTACAGAAAAAACCATAGCTAAAGTTATCCTTAAGAGACTTGCACATCTTGCTGATCGCATCTATCCAGAGGCACAGTGTGGTTTCCGACCATCAAGATCTACAGTGGACATGATCTTTTCCCTCCGTCAACTGCAAGAAAAATGCAGGGAACAGCAGATGCCGCTATTCATTGCATTTGTCGACCTAACAAAGGCGTTTGATACAATTAGTAGAGCAGGTCTGTACAAGATCTTAGAGAAGATTGGATGTCCACCGAAGCTCCTCAATCTCATACACTCATTTCATAAACACATGCATGGTACTGTACAGTTTGATGACTCCACATCTAATAGCTTTGAGTTAAAGAGTGCATGCTCCTAAAGTATGCCTTTAATGATGAATTTGAAGGAGTATACCTGCATACAAGAACAAGTGGCAAACTTTACAATATATCCAGACTCAAAGCAAAGACTAAGGTAAAATCCATCTTGATTCGTGAATTACTATATGCTGATGATGTAGCAATCGTTTCACACACAGAAGAGCAGCTCCAGAGGCTTATGAATCGGCTATCTCATGCCTGTGAAATGTTTTCACTTACCATCAGTGTCAAGAAAACAGTTGTGATGAGCCAAGGCACCGAACATCAACCACTAATCATACTCAACAATAAGCCTCTTGAAGTAGTTAGCAAGTTCTGCTATTTGGGATCAGTGATGACAGATAATCTGTCACTTGACCAGGAATTAAACGCAAGGATAGGAAAAGCGGCTACGACTTTTAGCAGACTTACAAACCGCGTTTGGGCTAACAACAAACTGTCTATTAAGACCAAGATGTCAGTATATAGGGCCTGTATTCTCAGCATCCTGCTTTATGGCAGTGAAACGTGGACAGCCTATGGCCATCAAGAAAGAAAATTAAACAGCTTCCATCTACGATGCCTTCGCCGCATCCTCGGCATAACTTGGAAGGACAAAATCACAAATGTTGTATTTCTGGCAAAATCTAATTTGCCAAGTGCCTTGGCACTTATCAAGGAGAAACGACTCCGCTGGCTGGCTCATGTATGCCGAATGCAAGACGGTCGAATCCCTAAGGACATGCTGTATGGAGAAATAGCAGATGCCAAGAGACCAGTAGGACGCCCAAAACTTCGGTTTAAGGATGTTATCAAAAGAGACATGAAGGCCTTTAACATAAATGTTTCTACATGGGAAACAGTTGCAAATGAAAGGGGTTAATGGCGACGTATGCTCTGGAATGGTATACACTACCATGATGAAAATTGGATTGATCAACTGGCCATCAGACGTACACGGAGGAAACAGAGCACCAGCCAAGTTCAAACTATTGGTGGCTACAATTGCAATAATTGTGGCAGGTTTTGTCGCTCACAAATTGGACTGTTCAGCCATGAACGAAAGTGCAACGGTACATAATAATTAGAAACTCTCAAAATGATTGCTACATATCCATCATCCCAAGGATGGAAGGATGCCATTGATGGAGTTATCTCTGCCAAGTTGGTGTCACTACCGAATGACCGATGCTGTACATATGCGTCACTATACAACATTCCTACTGTTTATTTTAACATGAAACAATTAGTTTATGAATGAAATATTTAAGGTTTTTGTAGGGCCCCAAAAATACGCGTACCGCTAGGCCAAGCCTTACTTTCGTTTAGAGAGTAGCAGCGCCGACGCGCTCTGCCGCCAGCCGTGGACGTATAACATTGGGTTGCCACTTTGCATCTGACCTGGGTTGCGCTCTATAGACATTGGATAGTGCGGGCTCTCACTTTGCGATGGGGTATCATTGTTGTGATGGTTGGAGCTCGCAGTAGCTTGTGTCTGTGGTGCGCCATACTGACTTACAATGCAGGGCGATAGCCTAATCTGGTTTTGTTTATACGTATACGTATGTATATAGGCCTATGTAGGACTTATATGTATGTGTGTATATGTATATATGTGTATTTGTATATATATATATATATATGTGTGTGTGTGTGTGTATGTGTGTATGTATATATATATATGTGTGTGTGTGCGTGTGTATATGTATATGTGTATATATACATATATATGAATTTTGGGAAAACGCCGAACGTTTTACAATTGTGTAAAAAATGATGATCCAATTCAGCTTTAATGAAGCGTAGGGATATCTTCTCATACTTCCTAAGCAAACAAACTGTCTCTTATACACATCTAGATGTGTATAAGAGACAGTGTATGCCGAATGCATATGCTGTTTCTTCTGTATTCAGTATTCGGTTTTGGAACGTACATATTAAGGTTACCATGTCGAAAATTATAATTAGGTGTGTTGTACTATATTAAATGTGATAAATAAAGTGGTACGCGATCTTTTAGAATATTGAATACAAGAAGTAAGTGTTCCAGTTCATTTCTTTTAGTTATTGATATCCAATCTATTTGGATATGAGTTTGCGTCAGGAAATTATCATAGGAGTGATGTTTTGCCCTACCTGACGTGTAATCGTACTGAATACGATTTTTTTCGCTAGTATTTGGGGACGTATTGAGTATTCAGTACGATTACACGTCAGGTAGAGCAAAACATCACTCCTATGATATCCAATTTGCTGAGTTTAATGCTAGTTGACTGGATTTATCCCAATTTAGGTTACATGCAATCCGAGCTGCGCTGTTTTGAATTGTTTGTAACTTTTTCCTCAAGGTATTTCCGCAATTTTCCCAAACCAAAATACAGTATGTTAAGTGAGAAATGATTATTGAATTAGAAATGTTGATTAGTACATTTCTTGGGAACATATTACGGCATCTTCTCTGACTTTTGAATTGATTAAATGACATAGAGGGATTTATTTCATCTCTGTTTAAATTATTCCACAAAACAGGGCCCTTGTAATATATGCTGTTTCTTTTGTATTCAGTACCGGTATTCGGTTTTGGAACGTACATATTAAGGATACCATGTCAAAAATTATAATTAGGTGTGTTTACTGTATTAAATGTGATAAATAAAGTCGTACGCGATCTTTTAGAATATTGAATACAAGAAGTAAGTTTTCCAGTTCATTTCTTTTAGTTAATGATATCCAATTTGCTGAGTTTAATGCTAGTTGACTGGATTCATCCCAATTTAGGTTACATGCAATCCGAGCTGCGCTGTTTTGAATTGTTTGTAACTTTTTCCTCAAGGTATTTCCGCATTTTCCCCAAACCAAAATATAGTATGTTAAGTGAGAAATGATTAATGAATTAGAAATGTTGATTAGTACATTTCTTGGGAACATATTACGGCATCGTCTTAACATACATAGGCCTTTTAGGGCCTTTTCTCTAATATGATTAACATGACAGTCCCATGTAAGATTTTCATCAATAATTACTCCTAGATGCTTTGCACTCTGTACTCTTGGAACGGGATCGCCATTTATCTGAACTGTTGAACTTGTATTACTGTTACTTGTAAGCCTTTGCCTTGAGCCAAGTATCATGAACTGTGATTTTGATATGTTTAGACTTAATTTGTTCGATTTTAACCAACAAAATATATGTTCAAGATCTTGGTTTATTGTTTCAATTAATTCATTTTCAATTTTCGCTGCGTAATATATTATAGTATCATCTGCATACATGCTAATTTCGCATTTATTTATTTTATTGGGGAGGTCGTTTATATAAACGAGAAACGCAAGCGGGCCAATAATTGATCCTTGTGGTACACCACATTTTATAATGTTAGGTTTCGATTTTTTATTGTTAATTTCAGTAATTTGAGTTCGTTCAGATAAATAGCTTTTAAGCCAGTTTATTGCGAATTTGCCAAGGCCGTACAATTTTAATTTTTGTAAAAGAATATAATAATAATAATAATAATAATAATAGTGTAGTTTTATATAGCGCATATATCCATCTAATGTAAGATGCTCAGGGCGCTTGATGTGTGGACTAGGAACTCGATCAATGACTGTCTTCGCCCCTAAGGGTCCCTTCGTGTCTGTGCTACCCGGTAACCCGGTACCAGCAACTCTCGTCGTCCACCACAGGGGCTGTCTGTTCCAGTACACCGGGGTATCCCCCTACTCGTCTCGAAGGAGATACTGGATTCTTTATAGTGCACACGAGCCATTGTATACACTGGGCCTACGGTGTATAATCCTTATCTGAGAAGACTTGTTCTACCACCAGAACCATAGGCGAGCGTGCCGCTCGAACCAGCGCCGATATTATGGCTGTAGCTTGCGGCGCCCCTGCTAACCGCTCGGCCATTCGACTCACAATATTATGGTTCACTGTGTCGAATGCTTTTTTGAAATCTAAAAGGCATAATCCTACCGTCTTACCTTCATCAATGCAACTGTACCATTGCTCAGTGGCATTGATGAGTGCAGTGGATGTTGAGTATGACGGCCTAAAGCCTAATTGAGTGACATAAAGTAATTTATTTTCATTTAAATATGTGTAAAGTTGATCATGCGCGGGTTTTTCGATAATTTTTTATATTACAGGAAAGACTGATATGGGTCGATAATTGCCTGGATTTGAGGTGTCTCCTTCTTTGAATCGTGGGAGAACTTTAGCAATTTTCCAATTTTCTTGGAAGGAACACGTTGTAAAAGAATGATTGATTAAATATGCAATTACCGGCGCAATTATAGGAGATGCAATTTTAAGCATTATTGCGGGGATTTCATCATATCCCGTTGCCTTGTTCGTTGGAAGACTATTTAAGTAATTGGAAACAAACTCAATTGAGATGTGTTGGAAATCAAAGGTTTTATCTTTATATTTTTCATAGTCTTCAGAATAGTCAATTGTTTCATGACTTACAGACTCTTCAATTTTTTGGCGAGATTCGGACCGATTTCAGAAAAATATTTATTGATTGCATTAGCTATGTCATAATTAGTTGTATAAGTATTTCCATCATCTTTGATTTCCTTTATACATTGTGTACGCTTGTTGTTAGGAATGACATTTCTGATAGTCTTCCAAGTTTTTCTCATATCGTTATATTTTTACGAATACATTTATTACATTCATTTCTACACTTTTAAACTCATTCCAAATAGTTTCGTCTTTAGTTTTATTATACTGAGCCTTTAAGTTTACGCATCAAGACAATATTGTCGTCAGTGAGCCATGGTGCTGCTGTTTTGCGTACCCTTCGTCTTTTTAGAGGAGCGTGTTTGTTAATTATACTCACAAAAATGTTTTCAAAACGTTTTGCGCTATCACTAACCTCACCATTGGTTAATATAATATTAAATATTCCAGTCAACTGATGAGAGGTCAGATAGAAAAGTTCTTTCATTGAATTTTTTAAAACATCTTCTAGTTTTATATCGGTGTTTTTGAGGGTTTGCTTTATTATTATTATTATTATTATTATTATTATTATTATTATTATTATTATTATTATTATTATATTATATATTATTATTTCTATTATTCATATTTTTATATTTTGTTTTTTTACTCAAAATAACATACATCATTGAATGATCGCGCACTTCAACATGAATGACACCACTATCTGACATCTTTTCTGGATTACTAAGTGCCATAATGTCAATTAATGATGCATTTTTATTTGTTATTCGTGTGGGTTCAGTAGTTGCATGTTACATTACATTCAGTAACTACATTACATTCAGTAATTGCATGTTTACATACTATATATAGGGCCTATATACATAGCATGAAGTGATTTAAAAACATTGGTTTTGTAGACACCCATATAGGGTGTCTATAAAACGAAGATGGGTGTCTACAAAAAGAAGGCCGAAGAACTGAGGTTGATTTAAAATACATCTTTATATTGAATATGAATAAAAATAGAAATTTACCAATTCTAGTCGATAGAGGGCGCTGTAGACGTAAGTCCCTACCTGAAAATATTCGCTATATGGTTCATAGTACAAGAGGCCAAGTACAAGTGTGCCAAGTTTCCTGCTTTTATCACATAAGTGCCCGATTTTTTTACCTGTACTATCTGAGATGTAAATATCCTAGCTGTTGTTCAGATTGTGCATATCAACCAGATATTCCTAAGTTACCGGATAAATCGATATCAATGGATCGAATTTTTAAGGTACGTTAGAAGAAAAGGATGGTATAGAATTAGGCCTAGGTTTTTAAATTTTATTTATATTTGAAACTCTCCCAGACATCCTCCGGTCCTGGTGGGATTAATTGTGTTTTCTTTTTAATTCTTGTTCAGATTACTCTTCCTGTGATGCTGTTTATTCATTCATTTTCAAGCTTGTTGTTTCTGCTATGTATAAACTATAATTTAATTTATTTGTTGTACAGTCAACAGTGTAGACAAATAGATTACAGGATGAAAATATAAAATATAAAATATTAAATGTAATGAATTAAAAACATAACATTATAAATATGGCCTACTTAATAAATTATTGAACTAATTCATATGTAATGAAAAAAAAAGTTCAATGGAAAATATAATTAATTTAATTTTCACAAAAATACAATTATTATAAAGTGATGTAACTCTACGAAAAATACAAACATAAACAAAATGTTAATTTACCCAGATCGAGTGTTTATTTGTTAGGCCTATATTTAAAATTGTTCATATAATGTTTTAAATTTTTTTTCAGATATTTTTCCTCCTTGTATAACTGTTGTATTGTTTTATGTAATAACATTGATTCCAAATTGCAATGTAGGCCTTCATAAAAGAATAAAAGGCAGCAATAATCAACATACAGTATTGCAAAGGTAAATATGCCTACGTTGACTTTTCTGATATCTATTTAACTCTAGAACTTACATTTTTATGTTTAGGCCTTAGTCATTTTTTGCATCCAATTGTTCACCTAGTGCCGCCAACATATTATCCCTATCCCGCTTAGATACCGCTTTTAATATCTAAAATAAATAGGGCCTACATATTTTTAGCCAGATGTGAATAAGTTGCTGCACTTTTCCACAGAACTTTTTCTTTTATATATTTTTATTACAAGGCTTCATGTTTCATAGCCGAACAGGGTTTAGCATATTTACGATGTTTCCAGTTAGGCTTTTACTGAAAAAATAATGTCCAAATAAGCGTATGGTCAGATAGGCCTAAGCTGAGTTTTTGTTTATTAGATGTCTTGTTTATGTACTTACCGTACCGTTTCTTATATTCAACCAAATTGATACTTTGTTTTAAATTTTTATATATTTTCTTTATTATTGGAAGGTTGAATGCCTCTGAAAGCTTGTGTTTTTTTAAGGTGCTACTTTTACAATTGTTTATTCATTAACACAAATTGCTTTCACATTAACAGTATTGGGAATATGGTAAGACAGCCAGAAGGCCTACGAAGTTGCATGCCAAAAAAAAAAAAACATCGTGTTTTTGAAAACTCACAAAACAGGCGGAACAACGCTAGCACGAATACTTGAACAATATGCTTTCGACAACAAACTAAATGTGGTTATTAAAAAAGGAGAATACAAAAATTTTCACTTTACAAATGTGAATTTTAATTTTACTTCCAAGAAGAATTTCGTACCCCCGATGGGCGTCAAACAAGGAGATTATAAAAATTATAAGTACAATAATTAACTAGCTTAGTCTAGTTCATTCACCTGATGATGACCTTTGATAAAGGTCGAAACCGTTGTGGTACGTAATTTACGTTGTTTTGGCTTAGTTTAAAAAGAAAAAAAGAAAATTACACTCTACATATAAGTACAATGTTTTTGCGCTACATGCTCTATATAATAGGCCGGTTTATGACTCGTTTATGGAAAATGACTCGATTTATGTGACTTTATTACGAGACCCGGTCTCTCAGTTCGAATTTGCTTTTGATTTTTTTTAATGTTGGGGCAGCCGCTATAAGAGACAGTTCATTAAATAAAACACAGATATTGCAGGTTTTAAATATTGGACTCCACTGAAAAGATCTCAGCGCTTAATTTCTTGTAATAGTCAGATTTGGGATTTGGGCGTTGATCCTGCGAAATGTCCTAATAGTTTTGTTATTGATTATACGATTAAACGATTATTTTTGTTTTTGTATTTTTTTTATTATAATGTTTTTATAACGATAATAAAAATGTTATATATCGTCTGATATCAGAAATGCGTTTATATAATAATGGAAAATGAACGTAAGAACTAACTATTCACATTAAGACACAATATTCAGTGGAAATGGCTGAATTGCTGATGATACAATTATTAAAATGTGGGTTGACATTTAAAATGAAATTGGTTTAAAATACAATCAGTATATCTCTTACTACCGTACATAATAATGACATCAGAGTATAATATTTTCGATGGGGAGGTGCGTTTTGCAACCGAAGTGGATCCCTAGGCAGTCACAATGGGTGACTGCCTAGGGATCTTCGCGAGACTGAGGCGAATCTTCTGATAGCTCTGACAAATTAGCATTTTGAGGTCCTTTTTTAATGGATTTCTAAAATCCATACAAGTAATTTGTAATATCCTATTTAAATTGTCATTCATTTGAGTATTGTCTAGGGGTCTACAGTAAAGCAGAAGAAATAGAAGGTGGGGTGAAGGGAGAAACTTGCACAGACAGATGGTCAATACCACCTCAGTCCCACCATGATTGGGGCTGAGGTAAGAAAATTTTTTATTATGGCACCTCAAAGTGGCCGGAAATGGCACTCTCAGACAAACTTTAATTATGATTTTTATTTTTCTCCATTTCTTTTATAAATTTAGGGGGCTCTCCACCCTTGAATCCACCACTGTGAAATTATAATTTTTCATGTCCTTTACATCTGTAGGCCTACACTCACGGAGCTGATAATTTCCAACAAATTTCGTAGTACATTACGGTATTAAAAATCAACGGGTAGAAGAGCGGCAAAAAATGTAATGCATACTATAGCATTTCGCGATAATTAGGAACGATTTAAGTGAAATAATAGGTTTTAAAAAGTGGACTTTTTGAAATTTGGTGGTTCAGGAGCAGAGGCCTGGAGGGGGTTTGTGAGAAAAGCAATAAAGTAGCATTTTGAGGTTCTTACATAATAGATTTCTCAAACACATAATTCATGAATATTTCATTTAAATTTTCATTAATTTGGGACCTGAAAAAGTAACGTTATTATGTCCTGAATCTGCAGGCCTATAGATAACATTCTTCATATTGTATAGATCAATCTGCAATCACCGGAGACGATCAATTTCTAACAAATTACATACCACATTATTAAAAATCAACGGTTAGATAAGCTAACAAATAATATAATGCAATGCATGCTATAGGCCTAGCATTTTGGTATAATTAGGAAATAATAGGTTTTAAAAAGTGGACCTTTTGGAATTGGGTGGGGGGGGGGTGCGTCCGTACCCTCTGCACCCCCCTGCCTACAGGCCTGTTATATTTAGGACAAAGTTGGTCTCATTTGGTACACTGAGCCATAAAACATTGGATTGGAGAAAAAAAAACGGCATCTTCGAGACAAAAAGTACATAATTTATTGCTAATTTTCAGGTTTCGGCGGCACTTTGATAGCCATCTTGGAAAATTCACTTTCTGAGGGTACAATTTTGGTAAACTTCTTATATTCTGATTCGTTGCTTTACTAGATTTTTCATCAGCATTCGATACAATCGATCATATTAAACTTCTTAGGCTTCTTAAGCTCCAGTTGGGGTTAGTGGAAGCGGCTATAACTGGTTCAAATTTTACCTGACCCAACGTAAAAAATATTCAGTTGTTATTTAGGGTGTACTGTCATCTCATCAAAGGAAGCTTGGGTTCAGAACCGCTGTTGTATGTCATATTCACCACTCCTCTGGAAAATAATAATAATAATAATAATAATAATAATAATAATAATAATAATAATAATAATAATAATAATAATAATAATATTAATAATAATAATAATAATAATAATAATATTATTATTAATATTAATAATCAAACATCTATAATGCGCCAATTTAAAATGATCAAAGGCTCAGTTTACCCTTAGAGTTTGTTAAATAAAAATGTTTTTAAATTAACATTAAATGAATCTAAAATATTTGAATCTTTAACAAAGGAAGGGAGTTCATTCCACATGGAAGAGGCAGAGAAGGAAAAAGTGCGTTGGCCATGTCTTCGTTCGGAATTTTTGGACGGTAAGCAGTGATTTTATGTGCAAAGCGGAGACGACGAGATGGAGCATAGCGATGTATATTATCAAAAAACTCATGATAGATTCAGGGTTATGTTTTAAATTTTCAAGGGTCTTCGTTGTATAGACACTCTGTATGGGTGTCTACAAAACGAAGACCGAAGACCCGAAAAACTTAGACCCTCTAATTATTTCTCAATTAGGCCTATCTTATTGAAAGTATTTTAGAATCATCATAAAACAGTTGCCAAATACCTATTTAATTATTTCATCGGAATAAAATGAGGAGGCCTATCAAGAAATACTTAAAGTATTCGTTTTGTAGACACCCATATAGGGTGGCTATAAAACGAAGACCCTTAGTTATCTCTGCCATGTTGGTGTCACTACCAAATAACCGATGCTGCACATATGCGTCACTATACAACATTCCTACAACATTCCTATACTGTTTATTTCAACATGAAACAAGTTTATGAATGAAATATTCAAGGTTTTTGTAGGGCCCAAAAATACGCGTACTGCTATTCCAAGCCTTACTTTCGTTTAGAGAGTAGCAGCGATACAAGCCTACATTCATAGAATATCTCAGCTTCGGAGAATTAAATTGAACGCAACTCCAGCAAACCATGACTTTACGATGGCACAGGATGGCAAACATCGATAAAAACCCGGCTGCCGTCTCAACTTTCACTGGCCTTTGGCTGAATGTTTGTAAGAAATGTACCAACCAGTAACGAAACCGGTCGCCGTCTACCTAGAGTAAATGGTGCCACCAAACGAAGCTAAAGTTTTGCGACTTAATCCACCAAATGCAGATAAAGTGTTGCGACTTAATCACCTGATTGTGGATTGTGTGGTTAGTAAACTCCATAGCCATACTGTCCATAGCGCACACTAAACTATGTGCTGATGGAGCATTTTGGGGAAATTGACTCGCCTTTTTTCCATTCCAAATGAAATGTTATAAAAACCAACATGGTCCGTCGGGTGTCTATAAAACGAAGACCGAAGACCCAAAAACGAAGACCCATATTTTTTCTCTTTTATTTTGATGATAATAGACCAGGCTGTCACAAAATCAAAATTATTAAATTGAAATTTTCAGGGGTCTTCGTTTTATAGGCACCCTATATGGGTGTCTACAAAACAAAGATTGAAGACCCGAAAAACGAAGACCTCCAGTTATTTCTCAATTATCTTATTGAAAGTATTCCAAAATCATCATAAAACAGGTGCCAAGTACTTATTTCATTATTTTATGGGAATAAAATGAGGAATATCAAGACATACTTAATTGTCTTCGTTTTATAGACACCCTATGGGAGTCTACAAAACGAAGACCGAAGACCAGAAAACGAAGACCCACATTTTTTTTTCTCTCAATCGTGATGAAAATAAGCTTTTTAAATAACTTCATGCTATGCATATATAGCATTCGTCTTCTTAGCACATTGTTGCCTGAATCTGAGTCAATTTAATGATTTACACTTTATTCCAGTTCCAAAGCGGTAAACAATGTTGTACGTCCACGGCCAGTGGCGTAGAAAAGTATTTTTCATTGGGGGGGGGGGGGGTGGGGGGAAAGGGGGGGGGTGATTGAAAATTCTTGGAATTGACATAAAATTACTGATGTCGTACACACCCTTCAGTGTGAAAATGTGGCTTGCTTTGCACATCTAACATCTAAGGAAAGGAGAGCTTAGATTGGTACCAGATAAAATAATTTTGTTATCAACATTAATACATTATGCTAATTTTCATCTTTGTAAGAGCATAAGACATTGCAAATTATTTCTGTGACAGTCTTTTGAAGTGTGTAAAGCTCCATTTTATCCCATACATAGTCAAAATATTGGGGGGGGGGTGATACAATAGACCACCCCCCCCCCTTGTCGAATATTGGGAAGATATAT